CAGTGTGTATCACTGCATTATAGAACTACACACTAATATGCAAGATCTGTAAATTCATCACAGAACAAGAATGGAACATATTAATTTTCTTTCAAATAAAGATTCCTTTTTTTTTTTTAAATAGCAGTTTTTGGAAAATTCATATTTAAAAGTGATACTAATACTGATACCAAATTGGCTGAAAGTGAAACTGTATATGGTGTTAAATCGAGAATTAAAAATTGTTTTTCTTGTACTATTCATTTTGTTATATAGATCACGTCCTTGCAGTTTAACTGCTCATTTCTCTGCCATATAGGAGTTCAATGTTTGTTTGTATTTAAGCAACACTACCCACACATCCCCTGGCTGTGACTCACACAGCAAACTTAATTTTCTTTTTTCACATTTTCAATCAGATATTACAGGACAGTGTGTTTACTTTAGATTTTTTAAAATTTCCTCCTCTGTTATTTAAACCCTAGTAACAAATAGCAGGCTCTAAACAGAACAAGAGATTATTCACTCTAAACTAAACAGACTGTGCAATAAAGGACAATCTAAAATTAGATCTCTCGTAACATGAAGTTTGTAACGGCTGGTTAAATGTTTTTTTCCTGTGTTATTCTCACACAATTCATTTTTACAAAAGCAATAAAACTACACAAAAGGAAATACCAAACACAATAATTTGGACAGGTTTAGTCTATAAATATGTAATTGTATTCAATGCATTATTACAAGCATATATTTTGGCTATGCTGTTGCCCATTGCAATACTTGAGTTCTGTATCTGGCCCTGGACAATGGAACTGTTAATAACTGTACCAGCTCAAACCAGCTGGGGAGTATTGTGAGTGAGTTTTGAATGTGTAATGTCGCAAATGAATCACTATCTGAAGACAGCACTTACGCTAATCAGTATTAAGCCATTCTTAAGTTGTGACTTTGTGGATCGACACAAACATATTCAAATGGTCTATTAATGTGATAACTATCAACTTTATACTTCCTAGTAATAGCCATTCTACTCCATCCTATGTTGCTAATACAAAAATGGATAAAAGTTGGAAAAGTGACCCAGTTGCCAGGGTAACTAATATAATCATAAAGATCACTCCATTGGTTTCTATGGTAATTTTAATATTATAATAAAGGGGATGTGTACCTACCGTGAGGGGCATAATGCTTGAGCACCATCATGTTTTGGATGAAGCTCATGTCGAAAGTGAATGGATCTAACTTAAAAGGGTCTATAATAGTACTTCAGAAATGTGGGGCACACTACATATGAAAATAGGAGCCTTTCCGGCCACAGTGACTCTATCTTACTCATGTATTTAATTTTTCAAGATTCTTTTCTTTCAGGAAAAGTGTGGGAGGATTGGAGACAGACAGATGTGGTTCAGATATTACAAAAGGGTTCTAAATCTTTGCCTGAAAATTATAGATATGTGAGCTTAACTTCTGTGACTGGGAAAGTATTTAAAAGTTTATTAATGGATAATATTCAGGAATTCATTGGGAAGAATGTGGTTATCAGCAAAAATCAGCATGGTTTTATGAAACATAGTTCATGTCAAACTAACTTAAAGGGACACTATAGTCACCAGAACAACTACAGCTTAATGTAGTTGTTCTGGTGAGCATGGGAAAGCATTGTGATTGGCTGAGAACGTCAATTCTGATGGTGTCAGCCAAGGAGGCAGATCAGGGGCAGAGCCAGCAGCAGCAGACTGGAATAAAGGTAAGATTTTAATATATTTATGGGGACAAGGGAAGGTCAGGGGGGCTTCTACAAAGAAGTAAGTAGAAGTATAGATCAGGGTGTTACAGTGGATGTGATTTACTTAAATTTTGCCAAAGCATTTGACACAGTTCCACCAGGGCCTTCTCAACAGCATTGTTGACAGCATTGTGCACTGGGGCCCCGCCTCCACAACCACTCACAGGAATAAAAATCTACATTATTGATAAAATTAAGCTTATATTTATTGGTAGTTATGACCCAATGGGGAACTAGTCAATGGAGTATTGTGTACTAGATTGGTACAAATATCTAAGGTAATGCGTATCTACCGGATAAGTATAAAAAAAATAAATAAAATGCTTTTATTACATAGTTACATAGCTGAAAAGAGACTTGCGACCATCAAGTTCAGCTTTCCTCACATTTGTTTTTTGCTGTTGATCCAAAAGAAGGCAAAAAACCCAGTTTGAAGCACAATTTTGCAACAAGCTAGGAAAAAAATTCTTCTTGACCCCAGAACGGCAGTAGTCAGATTTATCCTTGGATCAAGCAGTTATTACTCTACATTGAAAGATTATATCCTTGAATATTCTGTTTTTGCAAGTATGCATCTAGTAGCTGTCTGAACATCTGTATGAACTCTGATAAAACCACTTCTTCAGGCAGAGAATTCCACATCCTGATTGTTCATACAGTAAAAAAAACTTTCCTTTGCCTTAGACGAAATCTTCTTTCTTTCAGTCTAAACGCATGGCCTCGTGTCCTATGTAAAGGCCGGTTTGTGAATAGATTTCCACACAATGGTTTGCATTGGCCCCCTGAATATATTTGTATAATGTTATCATATTCCCTCTCAGGCGATGTTTCTCTAAACTAAATAGGTTTAAATTTGTTAACCTTTCTTCATAGCTGATATGTTCCATTCCTTTTATTAATTTTGTAGCCCGTCTCTACACTTTTTCTAGTGCCATAGTATCCTTCTTTAGAACAGGTGCCCAAAATTGCACAGCATATTCAATATGTGGTCTTACCAGTGATTTATAAAGAGGCAAAATGATATTCTCGTCCCGAGAATGAATGCCCTTTTTCATGCATGACAATACCTTACTGGCCTTGGCCACTGCTGATTGACATTGCACATTGTTGCATAGTTTGTTGTCTATAACAATTCCCAAGTCCTTTTCGTGTGTTGTTATCCCTAATTCGCTTCCATTAAGGGTATACGTTGCTTGTGTATTCTTTACGCCGAAGTGCATAACTTTGCATTTTTCAACATTAAATTTCATCTGCCATTTGAGTGCCCAGTCCCCCAGTCTATCTAAATCCCTCTGCAGCAAAGTAATATCTTGCTCACATTGTATTATTTTACAAAGTTTTGTGTCATCTGCAAACACTGAAACATGACTTCCAATGCTGTCTTCAAGATCATTTATAAATATGTTAAATAGAAGGGATCCCAGAAAAGACCCCTGAGGGACACCACTTGCCACCTCTGTCCAGCTTGAAAATTTACCATTAATGACAACTCTTTGTACTCTGTTTTTAAGCCAATGTTCTACCCGAGAACAATCATTTTCATCTAGACCAATTTCCTTGAGTTTTAACACTAATCTATTGTGTGGAACTGTATCAAATGCCTTGGCAAAATCCAAATAGATCACATCCACTGCAACACCCTGATCTATGCTTCTACTTACTTGTTCGTAGAACGCAATCAAGTTAGTTTGACATGACCTGTGCTTCATAAAACCGTGCTGATTTTTGCTGATAACCATGTTCTTCTCAAGGAATTCTTGAATATTATCCCTTAATAACCTTTCAAATATTTTACCAGCCACACGTTAAGCTCACAGGTCTATAATTTCCAGGCAAGGATTTTGAACCCTTTTTGAATATAGGAACCACATCTGCCTTCCTCCAATCCTCTGGAACACTTCCTGAAAGAAAAGAAAATAATCTTGAAAGATTAAAAACAGAGGTTCACTTATTTCTACACTTAGTTCCTTAAGTACACGTGGATGGATACCGTCAGGCCCTGGAGCTTTGTTTATATTAACTTTCTTTAGTTGCTGCAGCACCTTGTCTTGAGTTAACCAATTACAATTATTTTGCAAGTTTTTAGTAGCAATCATTTGCACATCTATTGCCATGGGTTCTTCATTAATATATACAGAAGAGAAATAGTTATTTAAAATTCCTGCCTTTTCCTGGTCTTCATTAACTAACACCCCCGTTTCAGTTTTTAGTGTACCTACACTTCCATTTTTGGGTTTTTAGAATTTATGTATTTAAAATATGCTTTGGGGTTGGTTTTGCTCTCTTTAGCTATCATTTTTTCATTTTGAAGTTTAGCAAGTCTAATTGCCTTTTTGCATGCATTATTTGCTTCCTTATATCTTTTATAAGATGCATCTGATTTGTCCGATTTAAATGCTTTACATGCCCTTTTCTTATTTTTAATCTCTTGTTTTACTTCTCTACTAAGCCACATTGGTTTGAATTCGTTTCTTTTATATTTATTTCCCAATGGTACATACTGAGAAATGTACCTTTCTAATATTTGTTGGAAGATGATCCATTTATCCTCAGTGTTCTTTTCACTAAAGAGTTTATGCCAGTCAATTTATTGTAAAGCTTCCCTTAACTTATTGAAATTGGCCTTTTTAAAATTTTATGTTTTGGGGGGCGGGGTTTGAGCACGGAGCAGAGCAGACGCATGCAGGCATAGCTCCTGCTCTACAAGACACTTAAACCGGACAAATTACAGATTACAGACCAGAAAAAGCCACAAACCGGGCCACTGGCAGAAGGCGAAGCAACGCTGAATGTTCTGATACCACACACGACGCAATCGCAGCCGTCTGACCGGGAAAGTCACCTGAGGCCTAGCATGCCAAGCAACTTGATCGCCAGGGGAGGCGGCCAATCTCTCAGCACAGGGCCAGCATTGCATGGCAGCGCTCGTGTTCCCCTGCTACCCCCCCCTATGGACCGGTGGGGGATATCCCGGTCCCCGCTGGAGACGCATACTCGCCCAACAGGGGGAGAATCACTGTCCGACGAAAAGCCACACGAGGCGCCCAAGATGGCCGCCATGCCAAGCTCCGAGCAAACCAAGGAGGATCTGGCGCTCCAGCAATGGAGACGGCGCTTCGAGAACAGATTCAATCAAATCTGCCAAGCATTTTGGAGAAACATACAGCACAGGCCTCCTCCCCAAGTCCATCCTTCCAGCCGGAAGACAGCTCGCAAACCAAGGATTCCAAGGGACATGGCTCACACTGGGCTAAAAACCGCCGTACTCAAACCAGCCAGGCGACATCCCACAAAGCAGCGGGCAATTAAGAAGCGGCAGGGAATAGCCGAACGCAGCCGGCACAGGAGAATACACTACAAACTTACCTCTGACCATCCAGAACGAGTGGAGGCCAAGCAGAGAGATCTGCGCAGCCACTCCTGTCAACGGGCCACCCGTCAAGCGTTGGGACCCCCCACGGAGGAGAATAGAGAAGCTGCCCACTTCTTCACATGGCCTAAGAGCTTTCCAAATAAGGGGATCGGCTGAGCCAGAAACTCGCTAAGGACAGTGGAATGTGTTGCCTAACTCTGAATCCTCCATGATATTGATGGCCATCATTTTACCTTGATACTGTACCATGCCGCAAAGTTTAAAATGCCCTCCAGCGGCCACTCTACCTAGTAAGATATACTCGTGTGACCTTATGTCTCACACTATTTACACTCACCTCACATCCCCAAAGCATGTTGTTAACCCTATGTTCACTTACGCACCCACATGTCTAGATAACTCAAAGTGGACTCTGTTGTTCTACATAATCAGACACACATGAATAGCCTGCAACCTATGTGTATGATAGCATTATACCTCTGTTGAAGTTATCAGTTGCATGCCTTAACCTAAAATGCATACACCTTTATGCTGTCAGTTAGAACAGTTAAAGTTTAACCCATTGTCTCTCTCTACTGAATACTGACATGTGTTCACTGTGTCATCTCTTTGCTATAAGCCTAAATCTATGTCTAGCTTGTTTCTAGAGGGAATCCTTAAATATAAAATTAGTGCTCGCTTTCACATGTACCTCTATGTTCATCTGTCAACATTACGTTGGAGGAATGCCTTTGGGGTACCTCTCAACTGTTTGTTATTAACTTACGCACTACAAAAATAAAGAATTAAAAAATAAATAAATAAATAAATAAATAAAAATTTATGTTTTAGTATACCCCATGTGCTTTTGTTTTTTTGAGTTTATTTCAAAGGACACTATATTGTGATCACTATTAAGTGCTCACATACTTGAATGTTGGTCAAAAGATCAACGTTGTTTGTTAAAACCAGGTCCAGACAAGCGTCCATTCTAGTTGGTGCTTGTACAAGTTGTGACACGAAGGTGTCATTTAACAAGTTTAAAAACCTAATTCCCTTTGCTGAGCTACTAGTCCCTCTGTCCCAATTTATGTCCGGGTAATTAAAATCTCCAATAATTAAAGTGTTACCCAGATTTGCAGCTTTCTCAATTTGCTCAAACAGCTGTTGTTCCTCGTCAATATTAACATTAGGTGTTTATAACATATCCCAACCAATAGTTGGTTTCCCTTCTTTTCCTCCAAGCAGATATTTACCCATAAAGCTTCCACATTTTCCTCATCGCATTCCATTTGCTTAAGATTTGGCTTTAAATCATGGTTGCCATACAAACATACCCCACCACCCTTCTTGTTTTTCCTATCCTTCCTAAATAACATGTACCCATTTAAGTTAACTGCCCAGTCATGTGTCTCATCCCACCATGTTTCAGTTATGCCTATTATATCATATTGTTTAGTGTATGCTACTGCCTCTAGTTCCCCCATTTTTCTATTTAGGCTCCTTGCATTAGTAAGCATACATTTAATATTATGCGTCACTTGTATATTTTGTGAATTATCAACATTACATAGCTTCTCTGTTCTGAGCTTGCCCCTCCCCCTGTCTCCACCTGCCTTATATAGTGCTAAAGCCCATCTCCTTTCTGTCCTATCTCCATTTTGTAGATTGCTATGACCCTCCCCCCCTACTATTAGTTTAAAATCTCCTCCAACCTTCTAGCCATCCTATCCCCCAGCACTGCAGACCCTCTCCAGTTTAGGTGCAATCCATCACTACTATAAAGGTTGTACCCAATCGCAAAGTCGGCCCAGTGCTCTAAAAACACAAAACCCTCCTTCCTGCACCAAGACTTAAGCCCGCATTGACCTCTCTAATCTCCCACTGCCCTTCCACTGTAGCGCGTGGCACAGGTAATATCTCAGAGAATACCACCTTGGAGGTCGTTTTCTTAAGTTTGCTACCTAATTCCCTGAAATCATTCTTTAGGATCTTCCTTTTACTTTGTCATTGGTACCAACATGGACCATGACCACTGGGTCATCCCCAGCCCCTCCCAATAATCCACCCACTCTGTCAGCAACATGCAGGACCAGAGCACCCGGGAGACAGCAAACTGTCTTGTTGAGCCAATCAGAGCGGCAAATTGCCCTATCTGCTCTCCTAATGATAGAGTACCCTACAACCACAACCTGTCTTGCCTTCCTTACATTTTGATCCCCACCCGTACTAGAGGGGCTGTTAACTCGGCTGTTAGAAGTAACAGCTTCCTCTAATACAGCTACTCCTGAGCTGATGCTCCCAACATCTTCCCTCAAACGGGTAAATCTGCTAGGTTGCACCAAATCAGGACTAGCTAGCCCTTTCCTATTCCCCCCCCCCCCCCCGTGCTTCCTCACCCCACTGTCACCCAGCTACATGCCTGTTCTCCATCTGTATTATCTCCTCCCTCTCCACTACCTGTCCCCACTAAACTCTGCTCAGTGAGTTGCAAACTCCTCTCAAGATTGTCAATCTCCCTCAAAGTTGTGATTTGCTTCTCGAGATCTCCAATCTGAGCTTCTAGAGAAGCCACTCACACACAACCATCACAGAGGTATGGACCCTGGACGGGTACATCCAGGCATCCATACATGCAACAAGATGTGCATTGAGTCAAACCAGCAATCTTGCTAACACTCATTTCCCCAGATACAGAACAATAAAGCAATTACCTTGTTAGTTTCAACTCCTGGTTTTCTAACTCCTACTTGAAAGAGTCTACTTAATAGAGTCTGCATTCAAGTAATATGAGCAAGCTCAGTGAGTTAGGGGTGTGCCTTCATGGGGATACAAATCCCACACATGTGCAATTAATGAACACTCAATCAAGCAGCAGCACAAAAGAGGGGGGAAAACCAGAACAAAGAAAAAAAAAATTACTTATACATGACCATTGTAAACCTTTTCTGTTGAGTTCCCCAACAGATGGACATTCTTGAAAATGGACATTTCAGTGAGGCTACTTGTCTGACTTCCTTCTGATTGCCAAACTCACTTAGCTGTATATGCCCAGAGAAATCATTTGGACTCAAGGGAACTGATTAAATACACTTTTTACGAATCTCCTCGTAAGGACTATTTTTTTTTTTTACTGTGAACAAAATGCATTCCAACAGTATCCTTTGATCATTTACCATATCCTTGTTTGAAACATAGTAGTTCATGTAGCCAATATGTTTTACAATGATACATATATAACCTGTATTAAATGCTTTACATAAAGTAAACATACTTTTTATAGTGTATTACTATATATACAGTAACATGTACCTTACAATTTTAAACAGTGTCTGCAATATTATAATCAAAGCAGAAATTAAAATTTTTGAAACATAATTGATTATTGCATTTCTGGGTATTCAATTTACTTTAAATGCCATGACAATGCGTACAAATATCATGTTGATTCACTAGAAGCATAAAGAATTTTGCTGGTTCTAAAAGCAGTTATGCTGAAAATAACAGGGTTAAAGGAGCACTATAGTGCCAGGAAAACCAACTCATTTTCCTGGCACTATAGGGTCATTAGGTCCCCCCCCCCACCCCCACCCTCAGGGCCTCCCTTCAGCCACTTACCTTTCTCCAGCACCGGGCTCCCTCTGTGCTGGGGAACTCTCCACCACCTGCCGACGTCAGATCCGAATGCGCATGCGCGGAAAGAGCCGCACATGCATTCAAGCAGCCCATATGAAAGAATTACTCAATGCTTTCCTATGGACGTCCAGCGTCTTCTCACTGTGATTTTCACAGTGAGAATCATGGAAGCGCCTCTAGCGGCTGTCAGTGAGACAGCCACTAGAGACTGGATTAACCCTCAGTGTAAACATACTGCTGCAGGGTTAAAACTAGAGGCACCTAGCACCCAGACCACTTCATTGAGCTGAAGTGGTCTGGGTGCCTATAGTGGTTCTTTAAGTATGTAAATTATAATTGCAATGAGAGAAACCTCATCACTGTTTGCAGGTAAAAAAAAATGTTCACTTGGGTCTGTGAGATGGCATCATGCAAAACTGGGTATGTCTTGCAAGAAAAAGAATTTTACTATCAGATAACAATGTCCTGCCCAAATATTCAAGGCGACTGAGGACTCTATAAAGGCCCTCAGCCAGGAGGATTTTTTTAGTAGCATTTTCTTTTACATTGAGATATCAATTTTATAACAGGACAGGAGGCTTTGTATTTTGCATAATCTTTCTTTACTAAAACTCTTGCAGCACAGGTTTAACAATAAAGTTTAGTGAAAAAAACATTGTCATAGGGATAAAAGGCCCTTCCTCTTGCATCATTTCTTCTTTCTTTGCTGCTCCAGTCAGACCGGTCAGAGTATTCTATTCTCTGCTATTGAATTTACATTTACACTGTCAGAGCTTCCTTTCTCTGCTCATTCTTACTATTGAATTTACATTTATTCTGTCAGAATATTTTATTCTACTGTACTATTACTCACGTACTTCGGTACCTGACATTCTCCTGTCTTTCACAGACAGAATACGCCACTACTTCATGATGAGTGACTCACCACAATCACCATCATCTGACTTCCAGTCAATGATAAATTTGGCGGTGGCCACCTTGGTGGAGAAGACTATTGCCAAATTACTGGTGCAGATCCCGAAAACGGACACTGACACTGCAACGGCCACTGAAACGGAAGACCTTGACTTCCTTAGAGAAGTCCCCGCAATAAAACTATCCAAACTTTATTTTCTGTGCACTTTATTATTGGGGTGACCCCCCACTCAAGATGTGCATTCAACAATGGACTCCTGTACATTTATCATTGGGGTGACCCCCCTTACTAATGGGGTGACCCCCCACTCACAGAGGCACACCCGCCAATGGATTCTATGCACTTTATTACTGGGGTGACCCCCCTCACTTACAGATGTGCATTCACCAATGGGCTACTGTGCACCTTACTATTAGGGTGAAACCCCCCTTACTACTGGAGTAACCCGCATAGATGTGCATTCAACAATTAATTACTATGCACTCACAGATCGGCACTCACCTACAGACTTCTGTGCACTTTATTATTGGGATGAACCCCGTTACTACTAGGGTTAGTCCCCCACTCGCAGATGCGCATTCCACATGGAACTATGGCCGGAGGTGCTCTAGGTGTCCTAACACAT